CGTATTGAACTATGAAACCAAGGTTCCATTGCATGGTAGAACAATGATGCTCTGTACTCTGGGCGACTGGTGCATTATAGAAAATTAGGCCAAATCCGATTGGAGTAGCTTAAAATCTGGAGGTGAATAGTATTGACTAGCTGTCTTCCCTCTAGTCTGTTAATTCAAAATTAGGAATGGTTAGCTTTGTGCGAAATATAGAACCAAAACCAACTATTTCTGGTGTATATCTGTTTCATTTCCAGTTTTAGTGGTCATGTTTTGTTTTTTTTTGTTTTTTTGTTGATAGATACATTCTTATTCTTCTGTTACAGTGTTAGTAAATATGTACTTCTGTACTGGGCGACCAGGCATCGCCTAGTGGTTAACAAGATGACTGACTACCTTCACTCTGAATAGTAATTCAAAATTAGGGCTGGCTATACTTGAATCATAAGAGTCTTTCGACCTTGGAATTTAGACCTCTTGCGTTCAGAGTGATTATGCATAATACTCCCCTTCAGCCCTACATAGTAAACGTTCGTTTTTTGTACGTCTCCCCTAGTGTTTCGAAACTTAGCTTCGGGGCTTATAACGCTAGAGTTTTGGGTTTGATTCCCGCAGTGGACACAGCTCAAAAAAAAATCCCACCTTGTAGCTTTGCACTAAAACAATCATCAAATATTTTCCATCCACGGACTTAAGTTGCTTTTCCAACATTTGCCGTAGGACTCTATGGACCTAGAACAGCTTTGCTATATAAATGCATCTTTATAGAGACCCAAATCTCTTCTGAGATACGAATTTGGATAATGACCAAAAGTCATGGATTATAAACTCAAAAATCCAATCGTTTGTAACAACGATTTTTAGTTTTTCTTCGATGGAGTATTTTAAAGTGAATGGTTATGTCTTGTCCTAACTTGTGGTGAAATACCTGATTTAGATAGATGAATTTAGAAACTCGGACACACATCCTCAATAATACTGTCCATGAATAGCTAGAAATATTGAATGGAAAAGATGACATAAAAGAACTGGACGATACTTTATGTTCCTCTTTGTCGCTCAAATGTCAACTATAACGTTTGTATAAAAATCAAATCAAAATTATTTTAGTCTGATGTTATGTAAATCATATTGTATTGGTTTGGTATGTTCATAACGCTTGGTCCTCTGGTGGTTCAGCGGTAAGTTTACGGAACTTACAAGATTAAAATTCGGGTTCTATTCCCCGCGGTGGACACACCATATAGTCCAATGCAGCTATAACGCTTGTTGTGACGAAGTGTTATCTGTAGTAGAATTAAATATGAATTTAAACTTCATTAATGAGTATTATAAAAAGCACATCGGCCTGATGAGTTCTGGTATTGAGCGAAATACCTCATCAGCAGCGGCATACAGTACACAACATGTGCGATTGAAATGTTATTATAGTGATGTCGTATAGAGCCAGTCAGTAATTAAAGATTTATTAACGATTATTATCTGTCTTATTGTGATATTGTATCACTCAAACTACCGATCTGTCATATTGTATTTCTTATTTTCTTTAATGTTATTAATATATAACTTTGCATGTGAGACCTGCTGCCTGGATTTATAGAGACATGTCTGACCTTAGCTTCTTACAATACAAGATATGTTTTCACTTAATCAGCATCAACCATTGACAAATAACCTTTATTATATTGTATTTTCAGAATATATTTATTACAAATTACAGACGTAAGCCTAACAAGCAAGACAGCCAGACACGATGATGTACAAAAAGCATTAATAGTATTTTGTAAGAATGATTCGCATGTGTTAATATTATGGCATGTTGCCACAGATGGCGCTAAGGACAACATTTTAAACACCTATATATTTAGTTCACGGTGAATTACAAACCGCTCTACAGTACAATGTTACCAAGATATATTTATGGCTGAAGGGTTATGTTACAGTATTTTCCAGGGAAGGATGTTTACATAGCAAGATTTTAAAATGATTTAGGGCCAAAGGGCATATACATTTCAAAAGAAGGGCCCTTCAATATTTCGCATGTTAGCCTAATCACTTGCATAGCACAGAATTTACAAAAGCAACGGGCTCTAAAACCACACTTAATCTCAATTTGGAGCAATGCTTTCATCCACAATGTGAAAGCTATGGTTACGAAAAAGACTCTTCTGACCCAAAAACCATTTTTACGGAGCTGTGAATATTTCCTGGTACTGTTAACAAAATAATAAAGAAGGATTTTATTTCGATGAAGAATCACATTCAACAGTTGTATTCACGAGAAATGTGGCCGTAGAAAGTGAAGACACAATAATCCACAATCCTGAAAAGATCCTTGATACAGCTTCAATGGATCAAACGTACTGTGTTCACCTATACACTTGATAAGTGAAGTGAAGAAAAAGTGTTCTTGGCCACTATTCAGTTCTTCACATATATAAGCAGTAAATACTTGTTAAGCAGTATGTTTGACACTTTTCACTATGATATAGGTCCAGCTTATCTCTCTTTGGTTAACTTGTGTTTAGGGTTATTGATGAGGAATGGAATTCTCCGAAACTAGTATAACCCAATAACACACGTTGATCAAATTGTAGATTGAATTGGACCTCCCTTGAACTTAGACTTCGAAATTAAACAATTTTAGGAATACTAAGTTTATTTATTAGCTTCAATGGATCTTTGTGCCTTTAATCCATTTAGACGTGGTCTTGAGAGCAGAAGTCCATTTAAAGTGGAGGAGCTGTGGAAAGTTTCGCGAGAAGTGTGGACTAAGGGTGGCCTTGTTGTCCTCCACAAATTTTTTTCTAGGGCTGAGTAATGGTGTGTAATCATGCCCATTAGTATGAGAACAATCAACAATGGATAAGTAATTCCGAGGGCAGCACATCAAGGATGTGTAACATCGCTTTTATAAATTAACCATCAGTATAGAATGTTCATAGCTTCTTAGTAATAATATTCATTATGTAGTATAGTAATGTTCATATGTTCTTAGTAATAATATTCATTATGTAGTATAGTAATGTTCATATGTTCTTAGTAATAATATTAGCTAAGTAGTATAGTAATTGTTAATATGTTCTTAGTAATAATATTAGTCTTAAGTAGTATTAGTAATGTT